TTCAGGCGCGTCTATGGTTATCTCAATATGTTTGTTGAGTTGCACCTTCTTTGCCTTTTTGTCTTTACGTTTCAAGTCAGGCTTTTTAAGCCTTCCAGTAGTTTTTGCGTCCAGGCTCTTTGGCCATCCGTCATGTCTATTGGGTTTAGAGTCAGACTTCGCAGGAATAACATAGCCGAATTTGTCAACATCTAAGCTTACTCGTGTAGTCAAGCTAGGATGGAGTGACGAACGAGTCGAATGAGCTAAGCTGCTAAAACCGTCTGGGGTATTTAGGGCAGATTCTCGCAATTGCAAGAAACGTGTGACCTCGAGGTCAGCAGTACTATTAGGAGGATCAGTCCATTCTTTCAATATGCTGAACCAAACCAGTTTACAAAAGTCACAACTCTCTTCTAATGCCTTATTCGTTTGACTCGCCAATCTTGGGAACAATGACTGGTCAAAACGACAGTTGGGAAAGCGTGCTTCGAATGTGTCCCCAGTCGTGGGCTACAAATGAGTCGGAAAAGGGCGCAATGGATCACACCTTGCCCGCATCGCCAACAGTAGCTCTTGTGAGATTTCCACCTCCGACTGTCTTGCTACTAAGTCCAAATCTGGGAGGCTGTCATCAAGAGCATCATCACCACGACTTGGGACTCTTGGAGTATGGCTATACGTGGGCGGTACTAGGAAGCTTGGGATGACAGCTTTAGAAGTGTGGATGCGACACGCTGTATATTAGCTAAACCTCTTCCCATATACCTTCCCTCTGTAACCACTCATTTTGTACCTTGCGCCTGTATGCATCTTGGCGTCTGTAATCCCTCATTTTGTACCTTGCGCCTGTATACAGCTTTGCGCCCCTCCTTATGATAGTTAGCGGTGGCAATTTCATCAGGAGATCATCATGCTTTTCCTCATTCCGAATACTTGAAGGGGACTTGGACACCTGCTGCCTGACACTATAGACTTAGAGTTGAAGTCCCCAATAGACACTGAAAGGTTTAAGAGACTCTTGCATTGGTGAGTTGTTTAGAAACGGAGTTGAGGAAAGAACAGAGTGGTGCTATCATGTAAAAAACCAACAATTTTCGGCAATGTATGACTGCAAATGGAATCAGGATGAAGTGCATTAAGTTACCATGGTGGAAACAGCCAACTCATGAGGTGCCAATCCTCTTTCAGACTGTTGAAGCATGCTTGCATTTGGGTATTTGGCCGCTAAAATGTATTGACAGGGATTCGAGCCCGGGATCTTCTAATTTCCGGTACAGATGCTCTTCCACTGAGCTTTAAGTCTGTACACTTGATTGGTCTGCCTCCATCTTAGGCTCCCCCGGACCACAACACCCTTTTGGCATGGCTGAGCGTCGCTGAGGTTTTTCCTTGGTCCGCTATCATCCATTAGCTCCAACACTCCCCCTCCAAGGGAGAACCCTCTGCATGTCACCTGTGGTGCATAATATTGGAAACTGCCAACTCACAAAGTGCCGATCGTCTTTCAATCTGTCAATGCATGCTTATATTGGGGTATTCGGCCGCTACGATGGATCGAACGGGAGTCAAAAGAGTCGAAAAGGGCACAATTCATAACACAGCACCGTAATCTACAAGGGGTGTGATGAATTGCGCCTTTCTAAGACTAACTAATATGATTTTCCCTTATTCCAGTTAGTGTGACATTGTACCGGTGGGATTGGTATTGGAGAATTATAGCATGTAGCAATAGGATTGTTGAGATGATTGTTGTGGGAACTCATAATGTTCCCACTCTATTGTTCCGACCCTCAGCGTCAATCCAACTTCTTCCCTCTTGAGAACCCAGTGGGCTTCCTCCTTATTTCTATTAGCAGTCATATTGCGCCGAAAATTGTAGTTTCATCACAGCTTGCAATGCTGGAGTGCAGAGGATGCGCTGTGGACCAGAATACCACACAATTCAATGAAGTTAAGTACACCTTCATAGTATTGTTGTTTTAGGTAGTAAAGACGAGTTCTGCCAGATGGGCGTACCTTGGTGGCGTACCCCTTCACACTCAATGGTGTGATGGCCTTCCTGCCCAGTCTTGAAAACAGAAGTTTGGGAATAGAATGTCGAAGAACAGACGTGCATAGGCAAACAAAATAGTCAGAGCTTTAACCATGCGCTCCGCTCCAAGTCAACAAGATGATGACAAGCGACGCCCCATATGATTGCAGGATGCCGCAGCAACGAAAATGGCAGGGCAAATGGAATGAGACACGGGGTTTGCTAGCGTGTCCGATGTAGCAAAGATAAATGCAAATCTTTCATTTGAAACTCTGTTGCTGGAAAAGTTGGGAGAAAGAATCTCCCGAGAAAATCATATTTTTACGGGAGAAATGGCAGCTGGTCTTGTGTGCGTCATAACAGGGAGGAATGGCTCCGACCCACACTCCGTTAGTCTTGAGCTACGAGTGCCCATAGATGCTATGCAGCTGGTCTTAAAGCCAGCTGGCGCTTAGGTCAACCGGCACATTCGGAAAGAGTCCACCTGCTCAGGGGATGCTACGGAATTGAAAGGCATTCGGTTTGATCTAAGCAGCATGGAGAAGGACGGTTTGAAGTTTATGTTCATCGCAAAGGATACCCTCAATCAGCTTCGTAAGGTAAGAAGAATGCACTGGTTGCTGTTCTTGAGTAACTATTGTACTCGCGTATGCTTGTGACTGTTTCCTTACAGATGGAGAGGTAGACACCTGTGTTTAGGAAGGAAAGCCTGCTCAAACGCCCTGAATTTGCTGTGGCGAATCATTTGATAACTAAATGGGGCCTAGTATTTGACAAAGCAAATCTGTCAGAACCACAGGCAGTGACGCTGGCTTAAAATCGGGGCATGTTGCGTGCTTACTAGGGGGGAGATGGCCAAAAGTTGCTATCACATGACAGTGTGGAAAGCAAGATATCACACAAGCAGTTTCACATGTCCCTGAACCTTTACCTGCCAGCTGATTTTGTCCAGGAACGTGACAGTCCAACAGATCAAGGAGGCAAAGGGAAACGAGCATTCATTGTGGCCCTTGTGAGGTTGGTTGAGGGAGCTTGGTGAAGATATACTCAGCTATTTAAAAGCTTTCTGTGTTCGCGAGAAGCGCGCACAGCTGCAAGAGGAGTTTGTCGAAACGATTATGTGGTTATGCTTGGAGCAGAAGAGGCATGCCATCTCTAACAAACTGCCTTCAACATATATTCCACCATAACCGAGCCAGAAGAAGTTGAAGCTGGTTCACTCGACAAGTTGGGAGAGCCAGATTGGGTACATTTCTGCTTCATACTTTGAACCTATTAACTAGCAACAACCACATCAATTTTGCCGTAAGCAGAGTGAACGACCATAACATTGACTTTGGGGAGGAAACTAGTGCTGTTGACAAAGTAAAGGAGTCAGAATATGAGGAGAAATGTCTTGGAGAAAAAGAAGAACCAATGCATACAGAGGAAAAGCGATGCGAGGATGACAGTACTGTGGTGTTGGAGATGGTCCTTGGCACTCCAATGGGTGCAACTTGCGCGAGTGCTGCCGCGAGGCCCACGACTGCTGCAGGCAATTCAGATGCAAGTGATGGGGATTCAACAAGCGCGACTGCCTCTAAGACCGGGGAGGCGTCTATTGGTAGCCGTGGAGAATTCATTGCAATTGTTGTAATGCCTACGGGGCAAGACCACAGTACCTGGGATGCATAGCTTTGGCTCAGTGGATGGATTTCATAACACGTTATCAGCACCATCGCTCTGAAGGCCCTTGCTTTGAACCCAGTAGGTTCCAGATACTGTATCCCTGAACAACCCGCGTGTGTGCTGATGCTGGGAGATATGGACACTTACAGAGAAGCTCTGTAGTCTTGAGGGGGAGGGTTGTAATGCCTTAGGGGCAAGAACAGAGCTCCTGGGGTGGATAGCTTTTGGCTCAGTGGTTTGATTTCATAACAGCGATAACATTCCTTTGGAACTTTTAAAGGTCTATGTGGTATCTTCCCAAATTTTTCGATAAGCATGATCGTCGTTACATGGAACGTCTATAACCTCATCTATTCAAACATGGGAAATGCTCTTTCTCAGGACCCAGAAGCCCAAAGTATTCAAAGGTAGCGTTGAAGCATCACTAGTTAGTATTTGCCGGGGAGCATTTTGCGAATGATGACATGCACACGTTGTTTACTCAAGACTTCATTGCTAGATCAAGGGTGAGTAGGGGGCGCCAATTCGTGTTTTCCCTTCGTTCCTTTAAACTCCCTTGACTGTCGCAGGTAGAATAGCATGTATTTGGAGGAGATGAAGGATCCTGGCTCAATCTCATGGGTGGCAACTTTAAAGGAAGCTAATTTGAAAGCAGCCTGCCCCTATCGAGCTGCTAGACAGCAAGCTGTTCGAGGAGGGCGTGAAACTGGCGCTCATATCAAAACAGATAACCCGGAAACGGGCGCGGAGAACGTCTTGCGATGAACTACTGGAGCTTCCCAAGCTATGCTGGGGTCCAATGAGGAGAGAGTCAAATTCGAGTCCGGGTCGATAATTTGGCGGTAAAGCACGGAACTCTCTCATCCGAACGGCTACATAATGGACGCGATTTGGAGCACGAAAGACCTACCTGGATTTCCGAAGATTGTTGATAAAGCAACGAAGGCTGATCTGCCTGTTCCTAAAATGAGAGCCGACATCTATGCCGGTCACTCTGGAAATGAGGCATGGCAACCTGGCTGGTACTGGTATTGCGCGGAGATCCTATAGTGAGATTGTTTGGATGGTATATGAAGGAAAATGGCCGAAGGCAGAGCCAGGCATAATTGGACACATGGAGACCCTTTTTATCGCATCGGAGTCGCAAGGTCGTAGAGCAATTCATCATCATGTGGTTGCATGGATTGCAAGCATGCCACGGACGCAAAGGTGTTCCTGAGCTTGCCGATCGAGAGGAGGTTAGTGGTGGCGTCAGGCTGGTGGTATATGTCGCTGACGGTGATGTCGCGGCGATTGTTGTTGTTGAAGAGGGAGAGTGCAACGGGGCCGATCTCGGTCGCGGTGCAGGACGCGCCGAGGTACCCCTTGATGTGGAATGGGGTGCGGGGGGTGTGCGAGAGCATCGCGGCGGGGGCATCGCGGCGGGGTGGTAAGCGGCGTGCTGCTAGGCGCCGGAGTCGACGCACCACGCGGCGCGGTGGGAGGGGAGAGAGCGAGAGGACGCCATCTACGCGGAGCCCAATGCTCTGGAGAGCCAGAAAAAACATGGCCAGCGGAGGTGAGGGCCTCCAAGGCCTTCTTCTTGGTGTAGCAGTGCGCTCCGTGGTGCCTGCGACGTCCGCAGGGGCGAAGTCGCAGACGAGGGAGGCGTCGTACGGCGGGCGGCCGTCATCGGGGGTGCGGTGGCTATGGCGTCTCGGGAGGAAAAAGGAAAGAGAACCTGGCGTTTTTTGATCAAGTCCAACTGCTCGCATCCGGGCGGCGAGCGCTCGACTTCTCTCAGAGATCGTTTCCCCCCCTCCCACCCAAGTCCCCTGCAACCCCGCGACCACTGACCTCCCTCTCCAATGCCATTTACCCTCACCTCTCCCCCCCCCCTTTCTCCTTTTCTCAACCCCCCTTCTCCTGGAACTTCTGTTTGCCACGAGGCCCGCCATTCAAGTTCATTTACTGCCCCCCCGCAACCCGGTCTTCCCCGTTCCTTGGTCTCCCCCCTCTGGGTCTCTCCCCTTCTCACTCTTTCCTCTTGCCCCCTCCTTCCCCAGAACTTCTGAACCTCGAGCAGTGAGGTAAGTCATCGCACGCTTGCATCGCCTCTCACAGCTTCGTTTCCCCTCCTCCGTCCATTTTTTCCCCCCCTCAGACTCTTCAAAGCAGCGAGGTACGCTGTGCCCCTCCCCCCTCTTTCCTCTCCCAGGTACCCAACCTCCGACAATTCCCCTTTCCCCTCCACCTTTTCCGTCTGCACGTCCCTTCAAGAAGCCAAATAAGTCTTTCTCTTCGGCCTTTCTCCTTCCTCCCCCGAGCCCCGGGGACTTCGTTTTTTTTTCATATTTTTTGTTGTTAAGACGTTGTATTGTGTGAATTAAAGTGGTCTCCATCAAAAATTGTTTTATGTGCCGAGGAGCAAAGGAGCAAGGGGACGGGGGGCGGGAAGGAGGCAAGCGGGAAGGAGGGGGGAGTGGGGGTCGAGGCCCGAAGCTGGCATGGCGTGTGCTCGGCTGCAGTGCTGCGAGGTGCCACCCCATCTGGGGGGGACTGGACGCCTGCCTGTGTCCCAGCCAGTTGGCACGGAATTACTGGCATCCAGATGAGACGCAGT